TCAATTTTGAGTGAATTATCTTCAGTAGTTACTAAAATATCGCAGTTTTCGTATTTCTGTTCCAATACCAACCTACCTTGGATTAAGGGAAACCTACATACCGAATTTCGTTGAGACATCTCAATTTTTGCTCGAGTTATCTTGTACACGGACAGACGGACAGACGGACGGACAGACAGACATGGCTTAATCGATTTCTTTTTTCATCCTGATCATTTATGTATACATTTGTCTATATCTATCTCGATTCGTTTTGGCTGTTACAAACAACCGTTATGTGAACAAAATTAATATACCCTTGTGCACAAGTGCGCTCGGGTATAAAAAGTTGGCAATTTGTATGAAAATTTGTTGATAATTTCCTAATTTTGGCACAAGTTTACAACTTAGATTTATACGATTTCTTTTAGATAATCAGCTATACTATTTTAAAATATTTACAAAAAAAGTTTCAGAATTAAAAACATTGCGAATATTGTTAAAATAGCACTTTATGATTTGATTTTGAGCTACTGTGTATACACACACTTGAATTAATAAAATATTTTGCTACACCTATGCAATTAAACTGTTTCTTATTTCATCTCTTAAGTTCCTAGAAATATTTGCTGTACTACTGTCCGCTTCCACCATATTCATAGTTTCTAATAAATGTACATCTTCTGTGGGAAAAACTTCTGAAGGTTGCAGCTCAGCTTTAAATTGCAGACAAATGTTGTGCAAAGCGCAGCAAACGTTCATTATAGCTGAAACCTTTTGCGGAGTATAATGCAGCTCGCGTGCTGCCAAAAGACATCGAAACCTTCCTTTCAATATTCCAAATACTCGTTCGATGATTGACCGTCCTTTGGCATGGCAATGATTAAACCGGCCTTCCGCTGAATTTTCGGCGGCATTTCGATAGGGTGTTAACATCCATGGTTCCAATGGATATCCTGAGTCGCCTTAAATAATTTGAATGCAATTATTAATATATTATCGATATTAAAGTATTAATTGATGCTAACCAAGACTCCATATCCCTCTCTCGCCATTATCAAAACGAGCTTTTAAAGCCCTTCTCTCACTGGACAGGTTCCATACATGGGAATCATGGCATGCACCACCGTATCGCGCGTCAACAGCTCTAATTCTCATCTTGTGGTCACACATCTAAGAATTTTAATTTGAAAAATTGTTGTTGAAAACCTTCATGATAATGCAATACTTACAACCATTGCATTCATACTGTGCTTCAGTTTTCTATTGTAGTACAAATGCTCATTCCTTTTTTTTCTTATCATTTGTATATGTGTGCCATATATTGCAAACAACACGCCCGGAATACCACACTTTTACTAGAAATATAATTTCGCCTCTGTTTCCTCTGCGTCCGTACTTGCAAAATTAATGTGTTGTTGGCAAAGCGTTTTCTCAATGGCTTTGCACACTTCAATGAGGCAGCGTGACATTGACTGCTGAGAAAGGCCTACGTGTTGGTCTTAGCCAATTTGGTATTGGTAACCTCCTTGCCCCAATAATTCAGTGCGGCGGCCAGCTTAATAATGGGCGGAATTGCTGTGGATTTTCGAGGAGTGCTTAACTCCGGCGTAATGGCATTTAGTACGTACTGAAACGCCTGTTTGTTTGCGCGAAACTGTAAAGGGAATCAAGCAATCCTTTTACCATTTATCATTGAGAGTGAATATGTTGGCCTTATCCCTAAGCGCTCTCAATTGCACTCGTTCCGCCACTTGGCCTTCATCTGCTTCCAACCATATCGCCACTGAATCCATTTGGTAATTTTTTTTATCAAGGACTTTCACTAATATTAAATATATTTAACACAACAATTACTGAGTTCTTAAGTGCACAAACTTCACAATCGAAATGTTAGCAATTTCATCTTGTTTTGATTTTAGTTTCTTTCTTTATTTTGCTTTGCGTTTGACATTTGGCGAACAGTGTTGCTCTCTTTTTTCGAATATCTTCGAAAGTTGATTCGAACGAACTATGGAGTACGAATGGGGCTTCCATTCGAATTTGGCTTTCGAATAGAACAACCTTTCGACTCGAACTACAGAGTAAGGGCCCTGGTTTTGGTTTTGCTCATGTACAAAACGATTCAAATTGATCGCAGTTTTGTATCTTTGAACGAATCATTCGTGAAATGTTTCGTTTGTTTTCGAACCCTACTTAAAACTTCAAGTGTTTAACATTCAAATATCGCACAGCTGTCAAAACGTAAACAATGCACTTGACTGTGCTTCCTTGTATATACAGCAGTTGAGTTTGTAATAGTGGCGGGATATTTAAAATATTACTAATACCTATNTTTTCGAACCCTACTTAAAACTTCAAGTGTTTAACATTCAAATATCGCACAGCTGTCAAAACGTAAACAATGCACTTGACTGTGCTTCCTTGTATATACAGCAGTTGATTTTCTAATAGTGGCGGGATATTTAAAATATTACTAAAGAGTTATGCGTTATATTTCTACCTATTGTCAATTATCATCAGTTTTAAAGAAATCGTATTTGAAATAGTTATTTTCGACAACATATCGATGGCTGAGTCGAAGATCGACCTATCTCGGCAGCCAGTTCGAAAACGCCCTATCTCAAAAAATGTTTCAACAACGCCTTATTTCAGAATTTTATTGAAAAACACCCTATCTCAGAATTTTGATGAAGAACGCCCTTTATCAGCCGCCGATTCAAAAACCATATAACTAACTTCTATATTGATAGTAAGCTAACATCTCAATGTGTAAGCATTCCGAAATCAAAGCGAGACAGTCTAGTNCCCAGTAGAACTTGGGAGCATCGTACGATTGCTCGGTGAGTACTCCCTTGGGAGTATACGAATACTCCCCATTGCTCCCTATGCTTCTGTGTATAAGCATGTAATTTTGTATACTCCCTTTAACATTGGATGTCCTAGGAGGGGGAGTAATCCCTTTTACCTCCTAAACGAGCAATCGGGGAGCACACACAGAATTGTCATCCCACAAACCTTCTAATGGAGCAATACGGGAGTACTCCCATAGTTACCTCCCAGAAACCTCCCAAAAAGACAACAAGGGAGTGCACATAGGAAACATCCCATATACCTCCCGAACGAGCAATAAGGGAGTGCTCCCATTAGAGGCATCCCGAAAGCCTCCTATAGGAGTAATAAGAGAGCAATGATAACGAACATTTTAAATTAGCCAAATAGATTTTGCTATTTATTAAATTTTTTATTTAACTTCTTAATCACGTGCATTTGTGCTAACTTTAACAATGATACGTCTTACATAATTGCTTAATTTTACAATTATATTGCAGAGAAATCATATGAAAGTAAAACGTAATAATAACAAAACGGTAAGATAAGATATGCACATATAAGTATGTACTCGTATATGATTTCCTGGTTGTCAAGAATGCTTGCCTGGTCAGGAATCCACCAAGCGGGGAAATTGTGAAGGTGACTTTTCTTATCTGACATCTTTGTCACCCATGCGATATTTAAACACGGGTGTCACACTTCAATGCAAACACTAATTTGCGAAATCTGAAAAGTATTTAACGGTATATTTGTAATAATACAATGCTTAAAATATTTAAACAAAAGTTGAGGTACATACCAACGGACTTTTACTAAAATCTGTGTGCTATCCAAATTAGATTTTTGTGTCCTCCTTATGCGCCTATAAGAAATATTTTCTGTTGGTTTTTTTTTCTATGATAAATTTTTTCGAAAACGCAAAATTTCTTTTGAACGAGGTTCGTATTGCTCTCCTATCAATCAAAAAGAAGACTCTTGGATTTCTCGCTTAGGAGACATCACTTTTTAATTCTAAACGAGTAATAAAGGAGTACAAAACCGACAAATCTCCCTTATTGCTCAGAAATCAGGTTAAGGGGAGTACTCTTTTATTCCTCACTTAGGGAGATCTCCCTTCAGGTTCTAGTGGGTGAGTGCCGGTTTTGTAAATGTGTCGTGTACATGTTTATTTATAAACGTATGCGTTCCTTTTCTTTCGTACGTGTTTATTGATATATCTGTCCTGTAGTGTTTTCGGACGGTACTAGCTCTTACTGCCAATATAGGAGTACTACATATATGTCAAAAACGCCCTATCTCAGCACATTTTCAATACATTTTCGTTTGAGATAGGGCGTTCTTCAACCAAATTCTGAGATATGGTGTTTTTCAATAAAATTCTGAATAAGGCGTTCTTCAGTTAAATTCTGAAGTAGGGCGTTCTTGAAAAGTTTTCTGAGATAGAGCGTTTCCGAACTGGCTGCCGAGATAGGTCGATCTTCCACTTAGCCATTTCTATACTGGCAAAAAAGCATACAAAGAAATTTTAATGGACAGGGCGGTAAAGTAGGCACGGTTTTGACCACCCCTGAAATTGACAAGACGTTCAGTGAAATTTTACTCGAAAGCATAGTATAAATTTGCCAGTAAATAGGAAATATTAATCAGCGGACAGGTAATGTTCTACAATAGTGCTTATAGAAACATATTTATTCACTATTAATTCAAAATAAATGCACAAATCTCGACTTACCACCAGATCCCGTGAAATTTCAAGCAACTTTTATGTCAGTGTAGTATATCTCTTGTGGTGATAATGATGATAATAATGATGATCGTGATAATAAGTAAAACAATAAAGGAAATAAGAAAATAAATTGTATGGAAATAACATACATAATATAATAAACAAAACTTTAATTTTCGTAGTTTCTTCTTTGTATTGTGGGTTACAAAAACATAATTTTTTAGAATTTCGGTGGGAGGGAGGCTTGAGCCCCCCGAGCCCCCCCGCTGGCCACGTGCCAATTTGTTCTATATCGAAAAAAAGTATACCCCTATTTTTTTATTTCGAAATCAAAAAACATTTAGAAGTCGCTCAAAGCGCTCAGGGTTTTCCATATATTTTTATATTATATATTTTCGTAGAAATGGTATAGAATTCTTGAAAGTCAATATTTTTCGACCGAAAAACTCTGGTTCTCTTCAGGAGACTTTCAATAGTAATACACAATTGTCTATTTAACCATTTTTAATACAAACGATTTTTTATTGGTTGCCCATTGCATTTTTCGGGGTTTTGTGGGTTTTTGGCGGACTTATAAATTATAGTTGCAATGAAAAAATGGTCAAATAAACAATTAGGTATTATTACTGGGAATCTGCTGAAGATAAGCAGAGTTTTCTGGTAGAAAAATATAGATTTTTAACTATTCTATACCATTTCTACGAAAAGTCGTTTTTTCCCCATATAAAATACATGGAAAACTTTGGGCGCTTTGAGCGACATCTAAATATTTTTTTATTTCAAAATAAAAAACAAGGGTATACTTTTTTCGGTATAGAACAATCCTAGCTGGTGAGAGCATAAAAATTCCGACTTTACCTTTTCACATGCATTTTTGGACCACCCTAGTGTGCGAACCTCTACCACNTTTTTCGGTATAGAACAATCCTAGCTGGTGAGAGCATAAAAATTCCGACTATACCTTTTCACATGCATTTTTGGACCACCCTAGTGTGCGAACCTCTACCACATATGTATTGTTACGATTATCCTTGAAACCTCGTCCGGATTTCCCAAATCTTCCGGTTCGTATCGCTGGATTCTTAAATAAAGGCTAACGATGACCAAATGGTAGTACAATTAACTTTATTGTACAACAAACAATTTTACAATACTTGCTAATACAGTAAAAA